ACCCTTCTCTTTTTTATTTTACCATTTTCGTCTCTCCTCCAATCCGCTCTCTTCATTTTCTCGGTTCTTTCTTTCACTCATCTTCCTCTCTATCTCATCCAATCTTCTCACTTCTTTCTCTTTCCTCCAATCATCTCTTACTTTCTTTCCTCCTCTCTCCTCTTTCTCTCTTGACCCCCTTTTTATGGATCTTTTTGTCCAGTTTAAGTTGTAAGATTTAAAAATTTTAAATCGCATACAAAACAAGTTTTTGAGTCTTAAATAAAATTGTTTTCAAGAAAAATTCTTAAGAAATGTTTGAAAAATTATAAAAATTTTCAAATAGGATACCAAACAAGCCCTTAAAGTTTACCCAGTTCCGGTGAGTTTTCCAGTTTTCCCTCAGACCAGTCAACTTTGAGGCTATTTTCCGGCTATCTCCGGCAACCATTGGGCTTCCAAATAGATATAATCTTATTCTACACTTTCCTATCTTCATTTTGATATATTATGGATCAAATTTGGTTAAGAAACGATTGAGTTACGAAGCTTTGAAAATTGCCCAAACTTCTGGCCAAGAGCTCTGGGACACTTAACGGAGTTTTTAACGGAAGAACGAAAATGATGGATGGTGGACAATCTCAGGGATCACTTCTATTGATTTGAAATCTTAGGGACCAAAGTAATGTGTTATACAAATATCAGGTACCATTTTCGCAATTTAGCCCTTTAAAATATTGTATTTATTATTTTATATATATTATAATTTGAAAGAAATAGCTAGAATTCCACATCAATACATCACTATAGTGTCATTGCCATCCGCAAATTAAAATATTCACATCACATTACTACAGAATAATTAACATTGTCTAAAGGTATCGTAATTTGGATGGTTCACAAAAATTTATGGAGAGATTGGTTACTCTCATCATCTGTTCCAAGACATACCCATAACTTTGAGCCAGAATAATTTACGCATGATACCTAACTGCCAGCTACCACCGATATAGATTTGTATAAGAATGTACGAATGATGCACCTACAAAGACCCCTGACAGTAAAACTCATACCTTGATGGTGCGACACACAATACAAAGATCTTACCAACTAAGCCAACCTTCTTTACAGGATTATCATAATCTGGCATAATGGCGTGGTGTTGCAAATCCCACAAGTTGTCACATTAACGTGCATGCTACTCATTATTGTACATCACCATCAAATAAGACAAAAACTTTTGATCTACTAATAAGAAGTAATTGTACCTAAATTATTTTCTTTTCATTTGGTAGGTTTTTTTTTTTTTAATACATACATTATTATGGGGAGTCAAGAGTGAGCTAAGCCTTGGCTTGGCTTAGCTTAACTTTTAAAAACGTAGGTATGAAAAAAAGTTGGAGTATTTTAAGTGTTTAGTAAACACTTTAAATCAATTTTTTTTTCAAAGTTATGGGTGAAAAAAAAAAAGCTAAAAACCAGAAGCTAGAAATTGCAGCTTCAACAAAACAGCTTATTTTGGTAAAACACATATGAATAGTAAAAAATAAATAAACTTCGTAATATGTTGGGTTGCAAACTTCAATCTGATTAAGGACGGCGATCTGACCCTAACCATCGCACCAAACAAACACTGATCCTTTAATTCAAAGGTACAATATCGAAGACGCAGTGAGACAAAGAAAACGTTTTTCTTCGATCCAGAAACAACAAAACGACATTCAAATTGTTTTGCAGGATCGAAACGCAAGACATGAGTGAGTCAATTGGAAACGTTCCAAGTTGCGAGGTGATCTCCTCATCAAATGAGATGTGCGTTTTGATATGGGGGACGAAACGCGAGAGAGAGAGGAAGGGTACGAAGGTTGGTGAGGACTGAGAAATTTCAGGAGGGGGATCGTCTGTTTGTGCATTGTTGTTAAAATGAAAAGAGAGAGATATATATTATTGTGAAATCATGGTAGGGCTCCTCTGGTTTTGTTGGGTTACTTATATATTGCGAAACCTTTCTATCTCCCCCATTTCTCAATTTGTTGGTTGAAAGAGGATAAGCATTATCCATCTAAGTCCTTAAATTAAGAATTGCTAATCCAATCCCCATAAAAAATCCAACAGTTGAACCTATGTTCCTAAATTACAAGATAAACGATGAGCATTACCAATCTAAAATCAAAATCCAAAACAAAAGCCAAATCTAAAACCGTAACGAAAGGGTGGAAGGAGCAGCATCAATCAAGAAGAAAGAGTAGTTCAATCAAAGAATTCAGCTGTGCACTTGGATGCAATTTCAATTCGTGATGTCTTTGTTTATGAATGGGGAGTGACTACGGAAGAGATGAAATGGAGGGGATGAAATGGAGGGGATGAAATGACCATCGTATCCTCACATGTGAAATTATTTTTTTTAAATTTCTTTATTATAAATATTTAAGACAAAGTTTATAAATATCTTTATTTTAAAAAATAAAGTATATTTAGTAATACACCTTTATTTGTTAAGAAAATTAAATTAATGGCATATATAGTATTATACCTTTTTTGGTCATTTCACACAGTCACAGCTGTTTTACATAAAAGTTTACCAAACACTATCATACTCCTTTTTCTTTTTTTTTCCAAAAGCACTTTTACAAAAAAGTTTACCAAACACTCTACTGTTTTATTTACAGTTGCTTATTCTCACAGCAGAAACAGTTTTTTTTAAAAAGTGCAGCAAGACCAAACCAACCCTAAATCTCACGATTAGTTAGTCATATAATATGGTTGAAATTCATTTTTGGGAAGAATTGAATCTAAAATCTCTAAAAAAAAATTAACACTAATTAAATTGAGCTCGGGTTCAGCAAGGTAATGTTTGAGATGGACTCAAAACTCAAAAGAGGTAGTTGAAAGTACAAAAGAGTGAGGATTGGTGGGTGCTGATGGAGATTTAGTGGAAGTAGTTGTTTTGATGTTGACGAAGAGGTTTAGGGGGTTTGAATGCCAATGGCCGCAAGGATGATAAACGGAGTAGCCCATGAACTTGCTCAACATGCATGATTTTGTAGTTTGATAGAGAGGATCGTTTCTGACATTTTAAGAGTGATGTGCGAATTTAATAAAATGTCATTTTTTATTTAAAAAATTATATATTTTTTGAATACTTTATTCATACAGAAATTAACAATCAATATTCAAACTTAATTGAAATCAACATTTCATTCTTATTAATTAAATAATCTCAAGTTGCCATGAAAATATGATTTGGGGTTCTTACATGAAAAAAGGAGCACGACTGAAAAAAAAAAGATATGAAAATACCCTTGTGTTTGTGAAAGAAAATAATAAACAAGTTAGTTTTTTTTGCTAGAGAACCGTAGAAGAAAGTAATACACAAATTTATTTTTTACTAGAAAAAAATAGTGAAAAATTAATATATTAAGTATAAACTTTACTTAATCAATTATAATACAGATATAATCATATGATGACGATTTTTTATTTTTTTCAGTCAAAAAATTCTTTGATAGAAAATTTATACTCATATGTAATATATAGGAGGATGAAAATTTTTGGGGCCCTCAAAAATTGAGAACCAAGCTTATCATTTCCATTTTCCTCAGGTCTTTTAATTTGCAATCCAAAGAGTTTTTTATTTTTTTTTCACATAGGGAACCAAGCTTATCATTTCCATTTTCCTTTTTGTTGAGTGAAAGTTTAGGGAGAAATTGGTTACTTTCACCACCAACGTCAGGGCATACTTACAACCTCGAGTCAAAAAAACTTACACGTGACACTTAATTACTAGTTGTCACTAGTATATATTTACGTAAGAATTTACAAAGCGCACTTGAATCATGATGGGGCGACAGACAAAACAGAAGCCTTGCCGACTGAACCAACCCATGTTGGCATCTCCATTTTCCTTTTGGTTGATTATATGTTTGTAATTTTGTTTTTTGTTTTTTTTTTTTGTTTTTTTTTTTGTTTTTTGTGAGGAATTATATCGATTTGACAATAAAAACAAAAGGAAAAGCCAACTCCCAATAAACAGAAGAAGAAATTATGTTCAATCACTATTTTTTAAGAGTGCTTTTTGTAAATTCTCTGATTTCACTTCATAGTTCATATTGTAATATTAGGGATACCAAATATTTAAATTTAATTTTATAAATTAAATAATATAGTTGTTAATTATTGAATTATTATTCAAGTATTAATTAATATGCTTTTTTTTTATTAGTAACACATCATTTAGTTTACAAATTTAATTTAAAATTTTGATCTTCTTAATATTATTCTTTGTTAATAACACATAAAACACGTTATTTCATTCTAAAAGACGCATTTTGAAGATAAATTTAGATTCCCCTAGTTTTGGCTTTAGTGATTTACGTTCCTCCAATCCTGCTCCACAATTCGCAACATGACAATGGTTACACACGAAATTAATCATCTCCGGATCCCTTCCATCTAATCCTCCTCATCAAACAATCTGGATCCTTAAAATTTGATCCAACGGCTAAAAACACGAGCCCACTAAAGTTATAATAACTTTAGCGGTTTGATCAAATTCAAGAATCCGGATTGTTTGATGAGGAGGATTAGGTGGAAGGAATCCGGAGAGGATCCCTTTCCGGTTACACGGAACCCATGAATAAAAACATGAAGATTCCAAAATTATGGCCCATTTGAAGAGATTCAATTTGTAGACAAAAAATAATGTGTCGTCAATAGAAATGAACACGTTTATCAAATCTTAAATAATAATTCAATCATTAATTTCTACGTCATTTAATTCGAAAAATTTTGTCGGTAATTTTAGTCTCCCTAACATTATGTCTAAATTATATCAAAATTATATATAATATACGTAAGATGTGACCGCACAGTACCTGCCCACACCACATTCGCTGCTATATATCCACAATTAAAGCCAAAGTCTCGTACTAACTTGCCCCTCATTTCCTCAATCATATCCTCAGCAGCGAATGAAAAGTGCCCTTTGTCCAAAAAAAACACATATCCTCAGCAGCCAAGCCATGGGAGCTCTCTCTAAATTCATCTCCCATCTCTACACCCTCACCATAATCTTCTTCACTCTCCTCATCCTTGAAATCGCAATCCTCGTCCGTTCCGTCGCCGGACTCAACCTGAATTCAGGCAAACGTGTCATCACCACCACACAGTATCTCAAACTCATAGAGCAAAAGAATCCCACAATTTGCTACACAAAAAAACTGAAGGCCACAGAATGCTCAGTTTGCTTATCAGATTTTGAGGAAGGTGACAAGATTAGGCAGCTGAAATGTAAGCACACATTTCACCAGGGTTGCCTGGACAAGTGGCTGCAAGAGTATAGGGCCACGTGTCCACTTTGCAGGACGAAGGTGTTGCCGGACGATGTTGTGGCTAGTTATCATCGGCTGAGAAATCAGGTACAATACGACGGCAGCGATGCGGAGTTGATTTTCTTGTTATCTTCGTTGCAGGGGAATACTTTACATAGATTTTTCTAATCAGCAGTCTTGCCCTTTTAGTTGGATTAATATTATTAGTACAGTATATATAAATATTTTTTTTTATCTTGTTTTTTTTTTTAATTTTACTTTACTTTTTTATCTTTTTTTATTTATCATGATCTTTGTGTAACTTTAATCAGTATTATACAAGATGTAATTTGGCAATACGCTGCGATTAGTTTGATAAATTGCAGTTTAGTTAAGGGCCTAGTGGGAGAGTGTTTCCAAACAAAGGATATATTTTTGTTGCATCTTTTCTCTCTTAATTTGTAACAATATCTTTCTGCATAATCTACATTGAAGCATTTTTGTTTCTTTTTTTGAGAAAACTGTAAAGAATTTTTTCCGGGAAGTGCTTCGTATTTGCTTTTGTTTATCCAACAATTATCGTCAGTGGCGGAACTGCATGCTAACCAGCTCAACCGGGGATGGCCACCATCCCCCACAGGCTCAACCCACCACCCCTAAGAAAGGATTTCGAAAGCCTTGTAGACTTGTAGTTGTACTTAACAAGGAAGGAGTAATACCACTAAAAGTTAAAAGAGTCCGTCTAATAATTATTTTATTTTAATTTTCATCTTTTGTGCTTGAAATAATACATGTGGGGGACTCGAGAGGATGAAGAAGGTTGTTTAGTGAGAATGTAACAAATAAATAAAGAATGAAGAATAAGATATCAAGTTTGATTCCTCCTGTGGGAGGAACTTTTGAGTGTGGATTGAATTGACAAAAACCTACATACATAAAGAAAGAGACAAATGGAATTAGATTAACACGTTGTGGTGTTTGCCAAAGGACCTTCAATGCCTAAGTAAGAAATATTGTACGAAGTAATAAGAGTGTGGTGAGAGTTCTTGAGTACCGAAATAAAGTGACAGACCTTGAATATTTATAGAGAATTGAGAAGTTAACCCCTAGCGTTCAGGTTCGTTGAACCTGTTACGTCCTAGTTCATTGAAACTGTTAGCAGAATGTTACTTAGTTTACACACCAATAGAAGAATATTCGTCTGAGATTCTTGGAATATGCTTCGGAGAAACTTATTATGCTAAGAGACTATAGGTAAGCCCATTACATATTAGGATAATATGTGCAGGTCGCGTGGTTATTGACTTGGATCGTTTGTGAAGAATTTGGCTGGGAGGCCTTGGTTGTGGGCTTCATAGAGAATGTGTTTCGTAAGCTCGTTGGAGTTTGACCAAAGATATGCTTATTCCATAAGGACATAATGATCATATTTGACAAGTTATACATGTAATATGTTTTCATTGATCGAGATATTTTATGTTCCCACACCTCATTTCCCTCTTTGATAGCCTGTATAATAAAAAGGGTACTTAATGGATTTATTTATGTGAAAGAGTGTCGGTATAATTCAAATGATTTTTGTTGACATTTTGTAACTTATAAATAGGTTACGTGGAGTTGTTAAAGTTTTGCCAATATCTAATTCTATAGTGATTGTGTTATTTAATACTACGGTCTAGTGTTATTTAATACTACAGTCTAGTGATATTCTTCTTTATTTAAAAGTAAGAGGTTTTAGGTTTAATTATTGCCAAAGACGAATTTAAACACACTATTACTAGTTTATTGTGAGGCTATGACTACTCTCTTGCCATTAGTATAATATTGTAGTTACTGTATTTGTCCTCTCCAAAGACAAATTTCTAATTCTTGCGCTAACTATCGTTGAACACAATATCTCCTCACCTCTACAGTGACAAGGTGCCACTAAAACGAATGGTGATTGGCAACATAAGAGGGCTTTTTCTAACCATATGTGAAGACGCACTTTAATCAAATACTATAAAATTGAAAAGCTTTTCTGGTCCTGTCAAATGTATATCATTTGTTTTGAACATCGTTATTCCAAAGTGAACTTTTATGCTTGATCTTGATCCATCACAAAATTGAAAAATGAAGGCAGGATTCTTTGTCCTTTCGATTCTGACACTATGTCTTGAATTCCTTGTGTTATATTGACCTATCAGTATAGTCTATATCTTTGTTCATGAATTTTAAAGTATTGAGATACGCTTTTCACGAAAGGAAAAACAGAATTCAATGACGCTAATGATAGTAGCTTGTTCATTTAATGTGGTATTTGCTTTTATATTTCTTGAATTCGCAATAAATACAGCGTTTTATTTATTTATTTATTTTGGAAAAACATATATGCAACTTCATTAAAACATGGTCTAAATATAGAGAATAGAGAGAGAGTAATTTTTTCACGAGTTTTTAAAACACAAAGCCCCAAGGGCAAGTATTACAAGAGTCTCAAAGCAAAGCCTGTCTATCTAGCGTACTTGGGAACCACCGCAAGCCACAATCAGATGTCAGAGAGTTACCAAAATTTGCAAGGGAATGGGTACAAAATTAGCTTTCCTAAATACATAAAAAAAAAAAAAAAAAAAAAAAAAAAAAAAAAAAAAAAAAACTCTCAATAGCATATTCTCTAGCCCCAAAATGTTAGCAATTAAGGTGGAGATATGCTAGGGAACCGCACATTCGCCGCACACACACTTGATAACCAAAAGAGAATTTCCATCAACAATAACCTTAGAATAGCCACCCCTTTCAGCCTGACAGAGACTCCACTTAAGCGCCATAGCTTCCACGGACAAAACAACGCAATCACCAAGAAACTTTGCACCAACAACAAGAGACTTTTTGCCCTGCCCCGATCCCAAGCTTCATCCAAGATCGACACGTAACATCCTCATGTACATGTTCCTTTATCATGCATCGCTTCCAAGACATAACCATAAACAAACAACAATTCAACAATGCATTAGCTTTTCTTTATATCATGGCTGCATATAACCTTCGTGTTATATTGCCTACGTATCCAAAGATAGGATCAAGCCAATCGTAGTTATCCATTCACTAAGTTATGACATTTGTCGTAGTATGTTCTAACATAAAAGTATAGAATTTCATAATCATTCAATGGAAATTGACGAGCATGATTCATTAGATTCCAAACTATTTATAGCAACCATTTCACGATCAAACTATTTAAGAGCATGATTCATTAGGTTTGATTATCGTCAAAGATGAATTTGAATCACATTATTAGTAATCTCTTGTGAGGCTAAATCCATCTATTCATCCTTAATATAGATAATATCGTTTGTTTAAAAAAAAAAATCTATAATGTCTGTAGATTATAGATTTATATAATTTTCATCATCGTAGTTACTGTATTTGTCCTCTCTAAGGACAAATTTCTAATTCTGGCTCTATCGTTGATGGAACATATTATCTCCTCACCTCTACAGTGACAAGGTGCCACTAAACAAATGATGATTGGCATATGTGAAAAGGGGTGTGCTATTCACACATCCCATTTTACTTCTCACACACCCCTTGATAATTTCCGTCTGTTGATCTTCTTCAATGATCATTCGATCTGATAGCCAAAAATTAAAAAGGTGTGTGAGAAGTAGAATGGGGTGTGTGGATATCTCACACCATGTGAAAAACACACTTTAATCGAATACTATAAATTCAAAAGCATTTTTAGTCCTGTCCAATGTATATGATTTGTTTTGGATATATCTTTTTTCCAAAGTGAATCACAAAATTGAAAAATGAAGGCAAGATCCTTTGTCCTTTCGATTCTGACACCGATAGTGTCTTGAATTCCTTGTGTTATATATATTGACCATATAGTCTATACATTTGTTCATTAATTAATGTGGAACTTGAGGAACGCTCATGACAGTAGCTTATTTATTTTATGCGGTATTTGTTTCTATAATTTTTGAATTCGTAATAGATACAACGTATTTATTATTTATTTATTTTGAATAAATATATATGCAATTTCATTAAAAATGGTGCCAATACAGAGAACTAGAGGGAGAGAAATTTTTACAAGTTCTTTTATTTTATTTTTTTTTTGAAAAATGAGAAAAATATTAAAACACAGCCTCGAGGGCAAGTATTCCAACAAGAGTCCCAAAGCAAAGCCTGTTTATCTAGCACGCTTGGGAACCACCGCAATCAGAGGTCAAAGAGTGACCTAAATTTGCAAGGGAATTAGCTACAAAAATAGCTTTCCTAAATACATGGTTAAAAGAAATACTCTCAAAAGCATTCGACAACTTCAGAATGTCAGCGATTAAGGTGGAGATACGTCAGCGACAAAGAACTGCGCATTATCCACACACGCACTTGATAACCAAAAGAGAATCTCCGTTAACAATGACTTTAGAATAGCTAACCCTTCGAGCCTGACAAAGACTCCTCTTAAGCACCATAGTTTTCGCGCACAAAACACCCCAATCACCAAGAAACTTTGCATCAGTCACAAGAGGCTTGATTTGAGTAAGTGGAAAGAAAATGGCTAATATACTTGCATATGTACTGTGGTTTTTTATGTGGCTCACGTGTTAATAATTAACAGATAGTTGAATTTTGTTTAAATTTTAGCATAATTTCTAGCAGGCTTTACCACAAGAACTTAAATCCCCCTTTTTTTTTTTTAGGCTACATTCCAATTACTATATCACCACCATGGTCTAAAATATCCATAATATCCCGATATTTCCATTAAAATTTCTGTGTTTTTGGACTACCGATATTTCCGATATCATCGATATTTTAAACCTCGCTAAGTCACTCATGTATCTTACTATGCAATGTATAAAGTGTAAAATATTGTACTAATTCATTATATATAAATGATTATGGTGTGTTTAAACTTCTTTCATTAATTATTACATATTTTCTACACTCACAATGTTTGTCAGCTCGCTATATAATCAACTTAAATCAGTTATATCTATCATGCAATGCATTTCCTTCCAATTTTTTGTGATAAACTAATAGATAATTGACTAAATAAATATCCTGCAAAGTTTCAATAAAAATTTCCAAGTTTTTCTTACAATTTTCGTGGTTTTTATTCAATTTTATCGATATCAATAATATCCCGATATTTCCATTGAAATTTCCATGTTTTTGAACTACTGATGTTTCCGAGATCATCGATATTTTATTCCTTAACTCACCACGAAAACTAATAATCCAATTAGACCTTCTGTAATGTATACGAATTCGAAAGTCAACAAATACTCATTCGTTGCATGAGACCCTATCCGTGCTAGATAGGTACACTAGTGTATATGACATGAAGTGACAAACTTCAAGGCGCGACTTTGTGAGCTGTGAAAATATTTAGTAACCCATTTGTGCGGAGCTTTCAATCACCGAATCCCCTCGTTTTCATCGACAGTATTCGGACCTCCCTACCTTCTTCTCTTTTATCTCTCACTCACTCTGTTTTCTTCACCTTCAGCCCATCTGCCTGTGGTTCTTCATTCTCTCTACTCTTCTTCTTCTTCTTCTTCTGGGACAATTGAAAAACGGTATTTCCCTCTCAACGCGCATTTACTGAATCATTTTTATCGTTTAAAAATGGCAGAAAGATCCCATTCTTCTGGCTAATGTATTATCTTGTTTTGATTTGTTCGAATACCAAATTTTGTTTTTGTTCTTGTTGTTCTGAAATGGTAGCGAGTCACTTATGCTGGTTTTTGTTCATTTGGTGTAACTGGGTTTACTTAGGTCTCATTGTTTTCGAAAATGGATGCCACAATGCCCATTTGCAAGACTGTCACTCCGACTCCCGTAAGTACCTCTTTACCCAATATCTGTTTATTTTTTCGGAATTGTGTCTGGGTTTTGGATGTTGGGTTGTGTTCTGATTAGCTGCAATTGGGCTGGGTTCTGATAAGTGAATCATCCAAGATTGATGATTTTGCTTGTGTATTCATCGAAATGGATGATGGATCCGCTTTGCAAATGCGTGTTAGTTAGTTAGTTAGTTGAAGGTTTGCTTTAACTTTATGTTCTTAATCATGCAAGATAAGTTGCTTCTGTATCTTCACTTTTGTAAAAAATATCGAATCCTTAACTTTTTCTTTATCCAATTTTGCCAAAGAGATGATAACCGAAACATCCTGAGTTCCTAACTCATTTGGGAAAAGTAAATAATCGGAATTCCTAGATAAATAGAATTTATAAATCAATGAGGTCTTCTCCTGTCAACGACAGGGCTTATTTTTTGGGAGGACAAGAGAGATCCGGAGTTCCCAATGTAGCTTTATGGTAGGAAATAAAGTCAGCTTTCTAAGGCAGAGGGCTCAGGGGGCTCAAGTTAGTTTTAAATCCAGGAAGCATGGGGGAGCTCTCCATGCTACATGTCGTGCTGAAAAAATTCTGGTGGCAAACAGAGGAGAAATTGCTGTTCGCGTTATTAGAACTGCCCATGAAATGGGAATACCTTGTGTTGCAGTTTACTCAACAATAGACAAGGATGCACTTCATGTGAAATTGGCCAATGAATCAGTTTGTATTGGTGAAGCTGCAAGCAGTCAGTCGTAAGTAGTTGATTATGATAAATTTTGCTTATCCTTTGTCTCAGTTTCTGTCACTGAGGATAATGGTTAAATCTGTGCATTTTGATCTGTCTTTCTACAGGTACTTAGTTGTTCCAAATGTTTTATCTGCTGCCATCAGTCGGAAATGTACAATGCTTCATCCAGGATATGGTTTCCTTTCTGAGAATGCATCCTTTGTTGAAATGTGCAGAGAACATGGAATCAACTTTATTGGGCCTAAGGTAAGTTTGTCAAATAAAAAGAAACATAAAATGTTCAAGCCAAGACTGTTTGATATTATTCTCTTTATTCAAAATGTAATGTGTAAGCTTCCTTAACAACAAATAAAAATAATACTTTTAGATCTAACCATGATAAGTTAATGTGAATGCTACTAATAGGGACTTGAGAAACTTTTACATTCCATATAAATATTTGTTAAATTTTTCTAAGAATTAAGGACATTGGTCTAAACTTTCCTAACAGTTAAGGGTTTAGTCCACGTGGATACGTTGGCAAATCATGTATCAATAGTTGGGCTGTTTGAATGAATTTTGTCCTTGGTTGTAAGGATAAATTTTATAAGTTTTTAGGGAAGTTAAAATTTTTGGCAGGGTCTATATGTCAAACTCCCTAACTTAATTGAATGTTCTTGTGCCAAAATCTCACGTAAATTTAGATTGATAAATCGACAATCTGTGAATAGTAATGGATAGATATTCAACTTGGAATGAAAAAAACTTGTTCTTTTTTTCTTGAGTTACATTTTAATTGGTTTTGATACATTATATTGCATTTATATGACCTTCTATTCTTTGTATTTCTCATGTCTTAGAGTGATTAGTAATTATTAGGTCATGAAAATACGAGCACATGACTCTTTGTTCAGTTGCTTATTCTTTAACTCATGTTCTCATGTGGAACAAATGCTTGCAATTTTGGTCACATTTTGCAGCCTGATAGCATCCGTGTTATGGGTGATAAATCGACTGCCAGGGACACAATGAAGAAAGCAGGCGTTCCAACTGTACCAGGAAGTGATGGATTACTACAGGTATCTCCTTTAACATTAGATATTTTACTTTTCAACACATCCAGAACTAGGTGCTCCTATGAATTAATTTTGTATTACTTGTTTCAACGGTTTTTTATTTTCCCTACAGAGCACAGAAGAAGGAATCAGACTTGCAGATGAAATTGGTTTTCCTGTTATGATCAAGGTAAAGTATCATGTCTTATTGATCGCGTGCTAATTAAAACTCATTATACTTGCACTGTATCTTACATTGCACACCCTTTCATGTTAGCTCCCAAAATTCTAAAGTTAAAACATATTAATGTACCAAATTGAATTCTTTGTTTGGTTTGAAGAACTAAACTTTTCATATTAATAATTATTATTAATTACATATCAATTCTAAAATGAGGGAATACATGCCTATTTCCGTAGAATGGCTGCTCAACAGTTAAATGTGTTTGAAAAGCAATGACAAACGGCTACCCAATTACCTAGCCATAGTGCTATACTATGAAAGATTTACCATCTCAATGAAGCTGGATAATTTTTATAGGTTTTAAAACATAGAGTTGCTATTAAAAACTTCAGTTTGTGGCTTCTAATTGTTGCCTCTGATTTCTGGAGGAGGCTGTTCTATCATTTGGCAGAAAAAATAAATCTGGCCGTCTTGTTTACTAATGTGTTATTTATTTACTTGAATGAATCGGACATGAAAATTTTAGTTCTTCAATAAATTAATCATAAATCCTATGAAATCAATGATTATTTTAGTATTGTGGCTTTCATTGAAACTTTCCTTTACTTCTTGTTAGCGAAAACCAATGTACAATTTTATCTGTTATTTCTTTGTTTCTGTTAAGTGATAAGCATGATTTGCTATTTAAGGCAACAGCAGGAGGTGGAGGACGTGGCATGCGTCTTGCTAAAGAACCTGAGGAGTTTGTGAAGCTGTTACAGGTAGAGCACCCAATGCATTATCTTCCTATTTTTGTTGCTTAAGTGATGCCTTTTTCCGTTGTTGTTCTTTGAAAGTATTTCTTTGACTCATCTTTGAAGGCATATTTGAAGTTTTTTTTGTTAAAAAGTTTATCCTGTTGATTGTACTGTTTGGCTCTTAGTTTAGTTGGCCTAGTTATCTGTAAACAAACTTTATATTTTTGTATATATTGTTGCTTCCATGTCATAGTTTTCCACCTTGATTTGATTTTTTTTCAGCAAGCAAAAAGTGAGGCCGCAGCTGCTTTTGGAAATGATGGAGTTTATTTGGAAAAGTACATCCAAAATCCTAGACATATTGAATTTCAGGTAACATACATGCAAAAGATCCTGTAAAATTTCATGGTCGTACATTTTTATCCTGAATTATTTTATAATAATTAGGATTTTAATTGAAATTTGATGACAACATGCAATCTCCTGATTCTCTTGTAAATACAGGTTCTAGCAGATAAATATGGAAATGTTGTTCACTTTGGAGAGCGGGATTGCAGCATCCAGGTACTTTAAATGGCCTTATTGTCTGCTTTAATCTCTGTGAAGGTTACAGTAGTTTCTAGAAAACAGCTTTCTGCATATAATTTTAGTTCTAATTTCTTCAAGGGAAGCAAAATTGGTTATAACCTTATGATGTAACTAACTCTTAGTAACTCTAGGATGTATATCCTCTATTCTTTTATGAGAAATGTAAAATTCAATGACACGTGCCAAATTGTTTATCATGTTTTGAATGTGACCATCACACAGAGAAGGAACCAAAAGCTGCTGGAAGAAGCACCTTCCCCTGCATTGACCCCGGAATTGCGGAAAGCCATGGGTGATGCAGCAGTTGCTGCAGCTGCCTCGATTGGTTACGTTGGTGTTGGAACCGTTGAATTCCTTTTGGATGAAAGAGGTTCCTTTTACTTCATGGAAATGAACACTCGGATTCAGGTTTAACTAATCTTTTGATGACAGCTTTGACTGGTAGAACTTGCTTACTTTTGTTGAACTAAGATTTTTTCCCCAATTAAACCACAGGTTGAACATCCTGTGACAGAAATGATTTCATCTGTTGACTTGATTGAAGAACAAATTCGTGTAGCTATGGGAGAAAAGCTCCGATACACACAGGTAATTAGCGAAGTAGTTTTGGAGATGCATATGATACTTTGTGTTCAATGTCTTATGGAGGTAGCTCATTCTGCAGGATGAGATTGTGCTCAGAGGACATTCAATTGAATGTCGTATCAATGCAGAAGATGCTTTTAAAGGATTCCGACCTGGGCCAGGTATGTGTACATTGCTATGTTCTGGTTCCCACGGTAATTGCTGAGTACACTTGTGTATACTCTTGGTCTTTTTCTGTATTGTTATCTGATATGCCCAACCCTTGATGACATAGGTTCTAAGTTAGTCCAGCACTTAACGCGTTGCCATTTATTTTACTATAATAACGTGTGCATTGCCTTGCCAATGAAATTATGTATTCATTTTTTAAATATTCGTAATCTTCTGCCTTTTTTACAGGAAGAATAACAGCCTACTTACCATCCGGAGGTCCCTTTGTTAGAATGGATAGCCATGTTTATCCAGATTATGTGGTTCCTCCAAACTATGATTCCCTTCTTGGAAAGGTTTGTGGACCAACAACCCTTTGCTAGCCATTGTTGCCCAATATAAATTATAATTTTCTAGTTTCTTGTTTCACTGACTACGGAAATGCTTTCCTATCGTAGCTGATTGTGTGGGCACCAACAAGAGAAGGGGCAATTGAACGAATGAAGAGGGCTCTTGATGACACTGTTATAACAGGTAATATAAAGTAACTGTTGAAATCGTTCTATTTTAGTTACTTTTTGTGCACTTTATATGGAACAAAATTTGTGTGTGCCAATTTCTTTGTTTAAGTCCAGAATTAGATAGTAAAAATGTAATTTTCTGTTTGTTCATGATTGGTAACGTAGATATTGGCTTTGTGCCGCAGGGGTTCCCACAACCATTGAATATCATAAACTTATCCTTGATATAGAGGATTTCAAAAATGGAAAAGTTGATACTGCTTTTATTCCAAAGCACGAGGAGGAGCTACGAGCGGTAAGAAGCTAGTCTAATGTTGATCAGTTCACCAGTGAGACTTTAAATTTTCATTCTGCTTTTTCAATTTTATTTTTCTGTGCAGTAAGACAACTAGAAACAGGCTTCAAACACTGATTAGGTGATTAGGATTTTAAAGTTATAATTGGTCATATAAGAATTCCTTTTGATTTTTGTTGGGAGCTGTTATTGACACTCCAAAATATTCATCATACACTCCTTCCTAAATGAAAAAAATAAAAAATAAAAAAAGAGGAGGGAGGAATACAGGAAGGCTATCTTGGAGTGCCACTAACAATTACCTTTATAATTTATATAGAACTGAGCTATACGTGCAGTATTATTGTAATGTACTGGGAAGTTGTTCATGTTTGGCTTTCCCATTTGACATATTAGGTCACCCGCCTCATTCTGAAGAAATTATATTTCTCGTTAATCCATAACTTGGTATCATTAACGCGATGGACTGGTGATATCATCTTTAATATGAGAAGAAAAATTGGATACATTTTATTGGATTACTAGTTTTTGTGCTGCTGTTGGGTTTGTATTCGTCAAACTTTGTTATGTTTACTTATTCCCTTTCGTGTGCCTACAGCCCCAACATTTGGTGCCCGCAGCTCCCAAAGAACTAGCTGGTGCATCTGCTTAGATGGATGAGAGCCTTTCTTTTTCGTACGTCGGGGACATGCTTGGCATGTGGGAATTCCATTTGAAATTTTGATGTGTTTCTGTATTTTGTTGGGTGTTCAAACATGTACTGCTCAGCATATACGTAGGAAATGATGAGGGTATTTCCAGCACTTGGTAGAGTTTTTAGGTGACTTTTGGTTGAACTTAATTGTTGGGTTGTTGGCTGATAAGAAGATGCAAAGCAAGGAAACATGTTTCGTTCAAGATCCAGTTTTATGTACATCACATGTAGTGCTCCACCAATTCCTCTCCACTCAAATCTAATCTGCCTTTGTCTAGATTCTTCTTCAGGTTCCAGAGTCGAAGATGGAAACCTTCTGACTTTCGACACCTTCTATTTGTTTTATATGACTGGTGGACCTAGTGCACTTTTCCCCTAACAAGAGGGACCAATTTTCTGGTTATGGATTGGAGGATATTGATTTTTCACTCCTCGGCCTGTTTGGTGGGGCATGATGGGATGGGCTATTTCCACCTAAATTGGACTTGTAGCAGGGCTAATGTTTGGTGAGAAAAATTGTAACACGAATTAGATTTGCTACAAATCCGAAACAGGGGAAATACGATACCGCACACAAGGGTTATGTACCCATTCCTGCCGATCGAACCCTATCTCTAAGGTCCAACTCCATCGAGCTCATCAAATGGGCCCTTTAAGTTCAAGCTCGATGGAGATGGAGATACGGTTTAATCTTTTTTTTTTTTTTCACTCTAAGCGCTTGCTATTCCTCAAAATACAATACAATATTTGGAATACATTTTAGAGCCCCCGAGGATGAGTGTTGCAGCAATACAGAAAAATACAAAAGCCAAAACCCACCAACTAAAAGCCAACAATTCTGAAGCTGGTTTTTCAAGTCGCAATGCCAGTGCCAACTCTACATCATGTCGACTTGAAGGTCTAGACGCCACCAAGCTAATCCAGTCCCACAACACCAATAGATTGATTTTTATCACCCACATCGTCGAGTTTTCCTCCTCATCCATCGGATCTGTAGTACATCTGCTATCTCAACCCCCAAATTTGAGATATCTTCCATCGGCACAATAGGGCACCCCATTAAGTGTGGTCTTCTTTTAGGTAATAGAGATGAGAGCCTCGTACTTGAGATATTTTATAACAGGAGAAGACAAATAGTGACAACTTATGGCTGTTTGATAACTATTATTATTTCTTTTTAGTTTTTACTTTTTGAAAGTTGAAAATTGAAATCTTGTTTAATAACCATTTTCAATTTTCAAGTTAAAAAAAAATGAAAACTGAAAACCAAATACTAAAAACTCAAGGCCAAATTTTGAAAACTCAAGGAAGTAGATTTTAGTTTTCATTTTTTTTGAAAATTAAAAACTGAATGTAAGTTACCAAACAAAATTTTAATTTTCAGATTTCAAAAAAGAAAAAACTAAAATTGAAAACTAAAATTGAAATGGTTATTAAACAGCCCCTTATTAAAAGTGCTAGTGTTGTTAATAATATAGATTTTTTTCTTTTATAAACAATAGGATATTTTGAAAAAAAATTTAGAATGCACCACAACTCCACAACTAGGTTTAAGGGTGGGCAAACAGGCACTGGACTTGCGGGTTGGGGTGGGTTCCAGGCAAGTCCAAAAATTCTAAACACAAAACAGGGTGGGGTGGGTCCAAAATTTTGAGGAAGCAGGTTGTTGGCCCGGACCATTTCCACCATTGATTTAATCTCGCTTAAATCTACACCATTGATTCCTAACCCTATCACAACACACTATGTGACAGCCCGTTCCGGACGTATATATTATTTATCCTCGAGAGCATGGGAATTTCTATTATACCCTTGTTATTATTGGGTTGTGTGTGTGTGTGTATTAACTAAGGTTTTGGACCAATAGGTTCTATCCTTTATTATTTGGACCTAATTAGAACTAAAGACTTAAGATTTTGGTTGGTTGACTGCAAACTGGACCACACACACATACCCTCCCCTTATCCCATTGACTCTCTCTCCTCCCTCTCGCATTTTCTTCCATGTCCGTACAATTGTACAGACAAACCTTGAACCCTCCATTTCACGCACAGATTGAGCTCATGGTTAGCATCATCATCTTCATCTCATCGTCACACACTCATCTATACTATTTTTAGAACGTGAAGATCTCATTTGCCTGAGAACCCAGTTTTGGGTCCCTGTTCATGCACTCGTGTTATCGAAGTTTTTAAGAGATTTAAAGATACTAGTGAGCTTTAGGACATCTTCACAAAGCTCGGATAAGAAAAACGAAGTGAATTGGACGTCGGGAAGTCAAGTTTGGCGAGTTTCAAGGTTGGCCGGATTATCAAGGTTCCTCGGGCTTGAAAGTGGTAAGGATTTGTTCCTCTCATCCTAAGCTTCATTTTGATACAAATTTCATGAAATTTGGTTGAGAAATGAGCGGGAAATGACGATTTGAAGTTTTTCAGTTTTCCGATGACGGCGTCGGTCACCGGAGTTCGAAGGTTGAAGACGAAGGAATATTCCGTCAAGTTTGACGGAATATTCTGACGGCGTCAAGTTAGTTTTAACGGAATATGTTGTTATTTGACGGAATATTCCCTAACGCGTTAAAGATTCTGTTAGGCGTGCCAGGCACGTGGCCGCGCGTGGGGGTTTGTCTGGCCATGCCCTTACCGGCGCGTGGAGGTGCATGAAGCATCTAAATTTTTTTCTAAAAATATCAGGGTGTTCCTGAGGTTGAGTAGGTCATGGTGGTATATTCAAATGCCCCATTTAAGCATTGTATGAGAAGTTAATTCCTAGTTTTGTGTATATGCTTTAAATAACGTTTATTCAGTTATTTCGCATATAGGTGAGACCTATCTTGAGGACGAGCACCATCAATCGAGGCTCGAGGGCTACGACCCTTCGACATATCAGTGAATAGGCTTTTGGATTTCCGTATATACCTATATACTTGAGATTTTTCCAGGAAATGAATTTGAATGATTATACATTTTGAAATGTCATGCAAAGTATCTACCTATTTTATTTATGCATTAGTAGTTGCATATAATTATGATTGGTGTTGCGGACGCACAGGTAAGTGCCAGGTAAGTTCATAAATTAAAGATGTGAGATTACTTCAATTATGCGAGTTATGATGTGATGTGATGAGAGCTCATAAACTTGCACCCGGTGTTAGTGTTCCTGCCCAGAGTTGGGGCACAGTCCTTCACATGATGTTCACCTCCCGCACCGTATGCTCACCTTGGATCCAAGTTAGGTGCATAGTCTTAATGTACATACCACTTTAGGTGGTTCTGACTCGTAGGTGACCCGCGATTATTCGCACAGCCTTCACGTGATCATAGCACTAAAGCATATTTACTTTACACCTAGTCTTGTCATACAGACCACTGTAGGTGGTTCCGACTCGTGTACAGGATTTGATTTGATATGATTGAGATTGGTTATGAGCTATATACTCAGCAGTGCAATTTAAGTTAGAGAGATTTGGCTAATGCGATATTTAACATTGATATATTTTGCCTAGTTTACCTATAGCATTGCATTAAGATACTTTGGCATGGTATACTTCTATGGATTTTCATCTTGACTATAATTTCTGATTTAGATTATTATTATTATTTTCTGGGAAGTTATACAGGTTTTACGGCGAAGGGTTAGAACTTTTAAGAAATGAAATGATTTTGAAAAGCTTTGTTTTTGCTCACTCACACTTTCTGTTTTGCGCCCCTCCAGGTTTTAAGTATAAGTGCTTGGTGGATCACGAGGATTTCGACAGTGGTTCTGACAGAACATCATAATGTAGGATTACCCTTGAGTGTTGTATAATTAGCACTTGTCCTGCTTGACTGCACTTAGTATATTTATGCTCTGGTTGTGTATTTCACGTTTAATCTCGCACTAACACTCTATCTTAGCTAGTTCTGCTAGTAGTTTGGTTTTTTATTCCTTTGCAATTCCATTATATCTTTATTGTTTCCGCACTGTGCACATGGTTACGTCACTCCCACGTGACGGCCAGCATGCCCTGATTTAGGTCAGGGTGTGTCATATTGTCTCCCTTTCAGTCTCAATCTCTTAGACTCACATCACACTCACATTCATAGCAACGTAGTGGCCCAGCCATATCATAGTCGAACTTCCTCCTCTTTCTTTGTCTCTCACTCATATCTCCCAATCCCAACTCGAGATCTATATCTCCTGACTTCGATCGACGAAGATGGCATGATGCTCCATATCATAATCTCATACTCAGATAAACGATGGCGTGAGGCTCCAGATCAAAATCTCAAGCTCCAAATCGAAGATGGCACGGGGATCTGAGAAACCTTCAGGATAACGGATATCGAAGATAAATGAAGGTGGTGCGACGATGATAGTAGACCACGTCGATGACGGTGGTCTCCAAGTTGACGAAGATGGGGCGAGGGACGTGCCTTCTGGCACTGGTCTCGGAGAAGATGGTGTTGAAGGTGGGTTTTGGGTATTTTCTTATTTAAGCATCTAGGTTGTTAAAAAGGAAACAATTCGAGCTCGACGATAAGGGAAGACAACTTGAATGACGTTGTTTCCTTCTATGGACTGGGTCCGAACCAGCTTGTTTCAAATGAGCCGGTTCAGACCAATTTCAAGTTCAAAAATTCCATTACCCGACATGTGCCCATCCTTAACTACGTTTGGGTAACACGAGGATCACTAGCCACAGTTAGGTATTAAAAGTATCACAAACAAATACCGTCCTCACAATCAATATGAGTCGAACTTGCAAAGTTGTAAGTGGTGAAGAAATTAAGGTTCCACCATAAAACCAATTGGCAATACGAGGAGTAGCCAAACTCCTTATAAGAACATGCAAGGTCTCTAATGTGGGATTTACTCACAAAACGTGTCATCACGTGTGGTGACCATTTAAGCCTAACACGTGGACAACACAAATTAGGTAACATGAAACATATGTAGCGTTGAGCTTCACTTGGGTCAACCTGCTTTGATACGATGAACGAACTTGGGGTTCCACCATATAACTAATTATAAATATTAGGAGTAGCCCAACTTCTTATAAGTACATGCAAGATCCCTTATTTTTTTCGACATGAGATTCACTTTCAAGGGAGATAAATAGCAATAGCCTAGGGATTAGTTGGAGTTATGAATATATACGGTTGAAGCCATTTATTGGGAAATACCCAGAAATAAGATAGTTTCTTAATCTTGGGACATAAATAAGACATTTCAAATATCCACACACCATGCACACGCTATGCACAAAAATCGGACAGAAATAGGATTTTCCTACAC